TTGGTATACACCTATTACTCAATGTACTAATAAATAAACAAATAAGTCATGATATGATTAAATAACTGGTCATATTTCGTGTGAAAAATCATAACTAAGCTAACTATCTGTCACAGGTAATATTCTATTTGTATTTCTTATATCTAATAATCAAACTCTATAATTACATTCTGACAGGTAAGCATATTCATAATGTTATCACTCACTTCATTATTTCATTGTTACACAGCATATTGATTATTCTATAAATACGTTTCGTCTGAAAGTACACTACAACCATCAGCAGTACAGTGTTAAATCTCAAGACGCAAATAAGTAACATTTTAATAAAACATTTGAAAGATGATATTTATTGTCAATAAATGTTTTGGATACAGCAAAAATTTGGAATGTGCACTTGAAGAAACATTTATTAAGATAAGGGCAAATTAATTATTCTATTTTACATTTAGATGAAATGTGTTAAGTGCCTATTCAGATTAATTTATATCATATCACTAAGAAACAAAGGTTGCGTTATGGAAAAGTCAAAACAACTAGAAAAATAGAAATATCTTTGAACTTGTGCACTTTGGCGATGTTCTGTTTTTAAAATATTTGGTCAAGTAATATTACTGCGAACGAAACTACACGTTGTGAAAAAGTCTAGAACTTACACGAAGTTAATTTATAGCAAATAATTATATCGTAATTTATATGCATATTCCAGGTAATTGTAAAACACTGGTTATCACATATTAATAAATGTGATTCAGCATTAGTTAATCGATGCTATTTGTAGAAATGTTTCATATCTCGTAAAATAAATTATTGCTATTAACTACAAACACTAAATAATTGAATTAGTGCACTTTTGTTATTGTCATTTACGTAGGAAAATAATTATGTATACACATATCGGAGTCACAGACAATGATTAACTGCAACTGAATGGTCAATTTATCGTTATTACAATACATTTAATAGAAAATACAATGAAACATAGAAATTGGTGAATGCACTAGTATTTTGTATTTGTCTTGAAAAGAGGAGTAAACTAAATGCTGTTTTTATTCTACCATCAGTTTATCAACGCAAGACTGTGAAACGTAGTTTCAAATATGATGTGTTTCTCTCCTCAGTTTATTCAACTTGTTTGGTTGCTGTTTCACGTTGTCAGTTTCCATATAAGCCAATAAACCATTAATAATATTTATATCGGTTGCGATTGTTCATAACACTGCGATTTTCGTTTCATAACATTTGCCGAATGCTTGAGATCCCTATAATGCGGGAATATGAAACCAGACTCGGTATTTTATTTTTCATACGATGAATAAAGATGTAATAGAACCTCTCATCAGTCAGGGTGCCAACAATTTTTATTGATCTCCAACTCCATTGGCAGAGATGCAGCCCAGATTTGCATGCTACAATCTAGACGTTCTATTTTGACTGTGATGTAGTTCTTCTTTCTGGTATGGAACAAATCATAGTTCATTGTTTCCAAACAATTTGAATTTGAATCATATCCACCTATTTTTTTAGTTATCCCGTTGTTCCAAGTCTGATACCCATTTCAAGTTACTGATTTATTTATCTCTTCTAAGCAGTAAGTAGCTATACGTCAATGAGGGTACTTTTTGTTAATGCGTATCTTTCTGTTCTCAGTGTAACCTCCGTACTTGTATTAAACAACAAAGTCATTAGTGAGATTGAATTGTAATGTAACGTGTAAAGAGCATGCCCTGAATTACTTTTGAAGAACTTGGGTCTCATCCGCTTCTGTTATCAACAATATGATTTTCATGTTCACTCTTCAGAGTTTCTATATAACTTTTACTGAGATATGAAATTTCGTCTCAATTTCTTGAATAAAGTAGCCATTGATAGCCAAAAGTTTAATTGCCACGCGTACTAATATATAGGCATTTTGCTGAAATGGTACTGCCTGGTTGGTTGGACAGCAGCCAATTACAGGGTATGTCTTTCTGAAAACAGTTTTTAATGCTATACTTATCTAATTTACTGTATTTATATTTTAGTAGAGGAAACAATAATTTTATATTATGTTAATCTTTGTATTAAATAGTAAACTGCCATGATTTCCTAGTTAGATATAGTCATTTTCCTAAAATAAGATTTCTGCATTTAAGTCATATTAGACCAATATATTGTATTACTACATGCTAATAATTTTGAAAACAAAAATTACATAGAGTTGATATCATTGCAAATATGTATTACTAATATTACCCTATAAAACGCCAATTATTTTTTAGTATGGGCAACATAAAATAATAATTTTAAAATATGATTAAAAAAATAAAATATAAATAACTTTGACAAATAAATGCGAAGGATAATCATTAATTGATTGCAACACAAATACATACAGTGACATATCATGTCTGTAATTCAACTCTACGAGAAATTTAAACAGTTGTATGCACATAAACTTGATAAACGAATTTATACTTTGTACGTTAAACTGAGGCCTAAGATTTCTTTGTATGTTGTCGTGCTGAACTAATAAACAAATTACTAATAGAGCAAAAAAATACTGCTCATAATTCATTTTAAATTTCATCAAACTACTATTAGAGAAAAGAAAAGATTAATAAACTTTGCCTAGATAATTTTTTCTTGAATGCACATATAACTTAAGTTTCAATACTGTTCTTATTTGGGAAGTATAATAATACACAACTTTCTCATTAGCGAAAACACCATTTCAACCAGGAAGAGTTATAAGCAGAAGTGTACCATATGTGCATTACTATATTATTTACCATAATTCGAAAAAGCCAAATTTTCACTTTTGTAGTAGGAATAATGTAAATAGGAAAGTTTGAAAAGTAAGACAAATTATATTTTATACTACACTGGAATACTGTAAAACATCTCGTGATTCACCAGGGAAATGTAGAAAGGTTTAAGCCCTCTTCAGGAAAATAGGATCGTTAAGTGGCTTTCAGCCGCTATTTATACTTTTGTATAATAGTTTGGATTTTCTTTTCTCAGTATTTGAAAGTTAACATGGTTTGCGACATAGACATTATATGGATGTAATCAGTAGTTCTATGATTTCTAAAACCAGTGATTTGTGAATTTGGACTGCGATTCCCAAGGTAGTTAAGTTATTCATTGCATATATATTTTTAACGAATACACAAAGGTATCAAAATGCTTAGGCTCCTGAGTAAAAGTTCATGACATATTTTGATAGTTTGCAAAGAAAGATGGGTAGAATATAATTCATACTTTGCGCATGAAAGTTTTTATTTTCCAACTATTGTACCATTTTTCGTTTAAGTCTATGATACTGTGTGTGGCATGTTCCATGATATGATGCCGTAAATAAAAACCAGCATTGTATTTTTGTGTTTTTGAAACTGAATGAAATATTAGAATAAACATGGAATCAATTGTCAGAATTATGTCAAAGAGCATATTTCGTATACAATAAATAAGCTATTTTAATTAATGAATCCAATATTGAGCACGAACCATTAATAATACAAATCAAACTCTACATTGTTACGGTGATGGTAGACTGATTAGCTATTTAGGTTAAAATGAGGCTTCTATAGCATGCGATTCTCAGTTGGTGGAATGAATTTTGAACAGTGAAATGTATAGCATGTTTGGTGATTAAACAACGTAATGCGGAAATGAAGGAAATTGCCGCTGTAAGCTTACAATAATCATTTTTAGAAATCTAACCGATACTATGACATCCAGACTTTTAATTAGTGAGTTTTCTGCTAAGTCTTTGATATATTTATATATATTTTTATGAGGCAATAGATTGTTAAATATAATCTCTATTAGACAAATAATTTCCTTCACGAAGAACGTAGCTCTATTATTTCTGATAACCAACTGAAAGGAGTTCCTAAAAATAGTTCTTATTCGAACTATGGTTTACTTTATACGATATTAGAAGTCATAGAAGAACTATCAAATATATATTATAATGTTCTGTCCTTATTGTGAAATTCAACTCATTGTCTTCTTGACACAAACACACTCATTTATTCGAAACGGACAGTTGCCATGGAAACTGTCACCACAAACCCTGTCCTACACACGCGATAACTGTCTAATCCTTTAGTATCTCTTATAACTTGGTAGGGAAAATCAAGTTTCAATCGAAAAGAGCTGTATGAACGTAAAAGCTAAAAAGGAATATATCATGAAAACAATTTGTAATATACATAAAGTTGTAAATTTCCAAGTAAGTATTCTGGGATTTAGTCTACCCACAATACATGTATATATGTATGCGTTTGTCTAAGTGTATACATAATGTTGACGCTTTCAGAATTTATTATTTTTAAATAATATTTTTTTCATTTTAAACTTAAGATATTAACAGTAGAAGATATTACAAAAATAGCTTTTTTTTTACTCAGTAATCAAATAATTACAGGGATTTCTTTTGATACTAAAGGCTTATATGCATTAAAATGAAGTAGATTTACTAATGAATCCCATTATGTTTTAAGGTTTATATTTTAGTGAGTAGAAATAAACCTGCATATCAAACATAGCTGAATATGAATTTCGTGTGATTGTAGTCTCTGTCTTTTTTATTGTTGGTGTTCTGTTACAGACGCTTTAGTGTGATCGTTTTGAAGTTATCGTGCATTTCAACTTAAAAACAAGTGCTTAAAAAGCTAACCGAAAGAATACTTGTATGAAAATATTTCTTGAGCTTACCAAATTACGCACATTAACATTTAATAAAGCAAAATTTCTGAAACTACAACTGGACTTTATATAGCATTTCTAACGGCAAATATAAATTATAGGGTACCATTAAACACTTCATTGTTCAATATAATTTTGTAAATACTATAACAATGTTAATCATTAAGTATCAATTTACTGTTAACACACTGTGACAAGGCGACTTGATCCCAATGCACAGACCCCAGATATGAACAGGATCTTTGCATATTTACATTAAATAATAAAACATATTTTGTTAAGAAGGAAAAAAAATACAAACTTACTCTTTTCAGTCATAGCTCTTAGGATTTCTTCTGTGCGTGCTGTATACAGGAAGGTGAAAGTCCACATCAACACAGACATTAGTGATGTGTTCGTCTGTTTTACCTTCATAGTTGTGACTATTCTCACCACAAATTCGCTATTGAAGCATGTTAAATAGCCTAAAAACATTAAAAACATTTACTTTGAGCTTTGTTTTAATAACAAGTACTTATTTTAAATACTTATATAACTATAAACTTTTGGAGTTTCAGTGACTTTACTTTCCAACACAGTACTTAAGACTAATTACTGTTCGAGCTTCGTAGCAATGTTACTGGTCAGAAAGTGCAGTGTCTACTTTGATACAAACACTTCCGCGACAGCGGTGGCGTTCAACTGGCGAATAACGGAACTCTGAATCTTTGTTGGCCAGTAATCGATCTACACACGGAGTGAACGAAACTCTGTGATACATGTTTTTCAACTAAATGGGTTTGTGTTCGAGATTTTTTATGTATATTGCGTTAGTCTTATAACATCAGGTGATATAGCTCAGAGAATAAAAAGAAGTTAAACGTTCTGGTAAGTCCATATGAGATATCCTCAATTTTTTTACGAAAATTATTTTATCTCTAAAACATAAACAGTTGTTTCAAAGAAATAGCATAAGCATTAAAGCGCATGATAATGTGCAGTAAACAGAAAAGTTGTTACAAAGAAACTTCATGACAGGCTCTGTATATTACATACATTGCCCAGTTAAATTCCTTACTAAACTTTTCAGTGTCTTGTTTTTAATAACTGGGATTCGAGATGGAATCCTGTAGTTTACCCATAAAGATTTCAAAAATGATATGCATAGCAGCTTTTATTTAGTTGAAATCCGAGAACATTTCTTATTTTAGATTAAACTAAAATAACGAACAACTTTCTTGCAAACTTTGAGACTGATGGGCACGATTTAACTGCCTATATTTAATTTTGGTCATTATTACTTATCAGTGCTTATGTTTTGTATGTAGACTCAATGTATAATAACATTATACAAAGCATTAATGACTCAGAAGTTTTTAATTTAAACATAAAAAGGTATATCACGATCTTGAACCCATTTACTTTTACATCTAGTTTCTTAAGAAACAGACGTTATTGTTTCATGTTATTCTGTACATTTTGTGATAACGGGAAAGAGAGATTAGTGTAACACGATCGACTAATGGATCATATTCCTTTTTTTACATGTAATAATTAATGCAACTTTGCTATGATTAACTAAAATTCTACTTTACTAACGTATATGTGATACAAAGAATTCCAACAACCCATGTGTAGTCAAGAAAGACAGAGAAATCCAACGGAAATATAAGGTTAATGGTCTATCCTGAAACATATGTTTATCACAGACCTGGTTACTTCGCTTAACATATATATTTGTTATCAACCTGGTTCGGTATTGTATACTCCAAGAAAATGTTGATACGCAAAACGAAATGCTTTATTACATGTACTATTACAACCCTGCTAAATAACTATTGTTACGTATGACAATTTCTAATAGCCTAAAACTGAATTAACTTGTACTTTGGAATTAGTACTTAAATAAATGCCCATATATATACAATTTATGATATTTGCCAAAAAGATTGATACACAGTTTTTTTTTCATTTTTAATACAAATATATTTTAATACACAAACAATAATACAATTTACAAACAGTTATTACAAACAATGATTTATATAAAAAAGTTTTACAAACTTACAAGTAATATAAAGTCTTCTTTCTAGTCTAGAATTTCCTTGATATCTTATCGAAGGTTTACGATGAGCGAGTGAATTTCGAATTGACGTAGTTACAATTTACTTAACGGGGAGCTAGCTAGCTCCGTGTTCTTCGCCGAGTTTTCCACCGTTGAAGTTATATAATGTTTTCGTAAAAGTACTAATGTCCGATGTGAATCCGCTGAAGCTAAATGGTTTATGATGTTCGAAATTTATAAACTGTCAACAGACACGTATACATATGCTTTATATTTCTTTTCACGAGTATAATAATACAGAAAAATTTTCAGCTTTAATTATCACAGTATAATTGCCACACAGATACGAAACCCTACAACACGTGTTCTTTCGAAGGGTGTACCTTTCTTCTTCAGGGACATAACATGTTTTAAGTCAGAGAAATCCAAAGGAAATAACAGATTAATGGTCTGTCTTAAAACAAATGTTTATCACGAACCTAGATACTAAGTTTAACATATTTTACTTGTTGTTGTTAAAAACTCATAACGTAGATAAATTAATATTATACACTGAATTTTCTCAATACTTTTAACGTTGAGAAAAGTCCGTGTATAATTCTACATATTTTACTTGTTACCAATCCAGTTCAATATTGCATAGTACAAGAAAATGTTGATATGCAAAATAAAACGCATGTTATAATTATTAACTAATCACCACTATTACTCTATGACTAAATTATAACGCATAATAACATAGACTAATATTTTGTGCTCATATTTTAAGAAAATTGCAACTTATGTGACTATTATTTAACGTTTGATGTTATACACGCGGTTTTATTAAGATTAAAGCTCGTTTCAATAAGCATGTTTTTAAATACAAGTTAATATTTAAGCATGATAAGTCCTGCATAGATATTCCTAAAGAAAGTTGAAAAGCATAGGCATTTAGTTTCTTCTTGAATCCTGGTAATCTTTTATATATTGTGAACCGTGGTACCTGTCCGAGCGTTTGTCTGTCTCCCGTTTGAAAAGCTGCGCAAAGCTCAACATTCACTTTTGAAATGACGAGAGAACAGGCATAGATAATGTTGATGCCAGATGTAATTTCACAAGTTGAATATTCTACACTAAATTGATAGGAATTAATCATACTATTACTCACATTTAAAAATGTGACGTAACTTAAAGAATGAAAATTTAGATTTACCGTATGTTATTGTTGAGCGGCTCTTAGCATGATTGAACTGCTCAACAATTACTTTTCGCTGTGGGCGGTATAAGTAGTTCAGATCTTTGTCTGTGAATGAAACCAACAGTACAACACAATTAACTTTTTTAAAGTCCATATAATAATTTGAATTGATAGATTAACTTAAACTTTCCATGTCACTGTGGACGGGTACTTTTGCTTGTCACACGTTATGCATTATGATATGCATTTTATTACTCCATCGTTATAATACAAACATTATCTAATATGCACACGTGTACAAACATATCTGTTCTTTGGAATCTGTGATTTATAGTGGTGAAACTTAAAAGAGCTCGAATAGTAATAATACTAATCGGAAACGCAGGTATATCTCCTGGTGTTTATTGCATTTCTTTCCTTTTGGAAAAGGATGAGAATATACTAGCCCTCTATTTACTGGCTGAGAAAAGTTTTTGAAGTGAAGATGTGAGATTGGATATCAATAACTGGTTCTCTGTAATCATTCTAAAAACGAAATTTCCTTTTTTTCTATCCCGACTGCTCACTTTATTAGGACCCAGTCTGTGTTGAATTGTACCATCATCATGATTATAGCATAGACTGAGCACTTATAGACTCCACAATATTCAAGTTCTGACAGTTGGTACCACATAACTACTGTGCGATGGTTATAAATACGTGTATAATATATATGTTTGCATTCACTAAGAATGAGGCTATGACAACAACAACAACAAACCGTAAGAAATACGAAACAAATAACACAAAGCACACGCTATAAACACTCGACATATTACGTAATGAAACTTGGTTTTTATGAACCATACTCCATTTGCATCAGCTTACTCTCCTTTATTTTTTCTCAGCACAGACATATATGTATGTAAGTGCTTTGGAAATAAACTTTATAATCAAATTTATTACTGTGTATTTTTACGCTATATTAAAGTAATAAAGATTGAATTTATATGGTTTTATGTTTTTACTTACACCGTTGCATAAGCAACCAATTTTGATTTATTATCAAAAGAAATGTACATATTATTCATAATACACTAATATTATGCTTTCCACTGTTGTTATTTTTAGCAATAATTCCTTAATCAAAAACTTTATTGGATTTGGTCATTAGCCATGTTTTTATAATTAAATTGGTAAGAAAAGATCTGTCTTGATGAAGATTCCACACGTCAGTACTTCAGAACAGTAAACTGTGGTTTACACTATTACCCTATTGTGTTCATGACGTTTATCTATGTGGTAAAGTAATTTAAAAATCAGTGTCACTATGGCAACACAACGGTGACCGATTTCTTTCAAAGTAATGTCAGTATAATGTACCTACCAGTTTGATTGTTAATACATTAGCATCTTAATAACACGTACAGTATATTAGCAGATGATTAATTAATAGAGTATTTTGGTTGTGATTGATATGCTGTTGAAACAAACAGTACATTTTTCGACATTCCATATGCTCCTTTCCACGTTCGAGAAAATTTGTTTCAAGATTCATAACTGGTTAATTTAGCCAGTTATATAGATTCTGTAAAATGTTCCAATTGTAATGAACTTACTATGTTAAGCTGGGTTATTGTGAATAGTGTTTTTAAATAACGAATAAACAAGGCAATACACCATAACAATATTTCTTTAAACAAAAACTTGAATAACGCCATATTATAAATATTTCAGTTTTTCAGTTACTTTATTCAGTGCCTTGTTTTTTCTTTTCGTTTGTTTTCTTCTTATAAAAGTGAGTATCTATAATAATAGGAACGTCGGTCATATAACTAACAAAGGTAATGGTAAGAAAGGTGCTTATATTAGTGCGAAATACTTTACAGTTTTTTGAACAACCAAAATTACGATCATATACATAGTCTGTGTTCTTGGAAAACAAGTGAACACTTGCACCTAAGAAATTATAATATATATTGTATATATATATATATATATATATATATACATATAACAACAATGTTCTTGTCATGTGGAGATTTTTATCTACATAATGAAAAATATATCAGTGTGATTAATTACGTTGGCAAAAGTTAGCTTGCAATGTTGTAAACAGAGTAACGAATATTTACAATGCTATAGAAATGGGTAATAAATATATTATATTGTTTAAATTCACGCTGGCTATTGAATACATTAATTATCTTGAAATTAGGCTATAGGTTTTTGCCCTAATGATTTATCATAAAAGTTGTACA